GTTTTTTAAATGCAACCATAGCAGAGGATTTCAGTGACAGCGATAGGAGCTGGTAGCCCTCCTTGTGTGATGGGAGTTGTGGGAGAGCAAAGTTTTATGGCATGTAGGTCTAAATGTGTGTGTAGTGGGCAAGTGACTGAGTGCAGGCAGGGCCCATGCCAAGGACCAGAGAGGACATCAGGACTAGACTTGGAAGTTGCCAGGCTGTGAACTGTTCATGACCCTTACACAAAAAGTGAGCTATTCCTGCTTGATATCCCCCTAACAAATACGTGATCTTTTTCCTTTGTTAAAATGTATTTCTTATTTTTGTCATACGTGCCAAATATATATGCCAAACATGGAATTAATTTGGTCTTTTCATAAAAATTCTGCCCTCAAATAATTAACATCAATATAGCATTGTATAGCATTCTCAGAGCAACATTTTGTGTTATCTTCGACATCATCTAAAACAATGACATTGCTTAGACATCTGGAGAAAATTTCATAGATAAGGAATTTTCACATTCACCATCTGTGGCCACTCTGGTAAGCTGAGGCCCATGGAGAAGGTGCTTTTGTGGGAGTGCTTCTGAGTTTTCAGTTTTGTGGCTCATACATTTGAGGTTGGTCAGTTTATGATGAAACAGGATAACCTGTATTCCCCATTGGCATATTACAGTTTGCCAATGTCAACAGTTTCACTTTATGCTAAACTTCAACATTTCACATTTGCCTTTGTTCTGAATCAGTTTTAATGATTTTAAGTGAAATAAAAATGTTATGGAAATAGCCTTTCAACATTTTCTTCCCTTTACCTTATTTCGTAGCACTTAAGAAGCAGAAGCGAAGGACATGATTTACTATCTCAGACTGTGTCCTAGCAGAACATGTGATGTCTTTCTTACTACTTCAGCAAGATTAGAAGATAAGCATATAGCAATATCTCTGCATAAATTCTTAACATTGAAATGAATTGTTCCTCTTATTGGCACAGTGAGACCCGAGCTTTCTATATTCAAAGTATAAATCGAATTAAGACATAAAGATATTTCTCCTTTTGGATTTAAAATTCTCTTCAGCATTAAATCAATGAAGAGATGAAAATTATATCCAGGAGAAGAACCTAATATTATAAATGAGGAGTTTATGTATACATGTGTAGTCACATGTGCTTCTTTACTCTTTGTAAAATCTTGTATGTTTCCTTACTGCTTCATGCCTTCATTTAATAAATAACAAGGTAAAAAGTCTCGTCTTGAAGGAACGTCTATGATCTTTCTAGGAAGAGAATTATTTGAGAATTTTGAGTAATTTGGAAAGTCTGTCCTAATGATATCCAATTCATAAGTGGATTGCCCTGTTAAAGAGGAACTCATGATACTCAGAGGATCGCTTTAACTTTTTATGAAGAAGACATAATTTAAAGGCCAGGACTGAATTTGCAAGTGTAATAATAGCGATATTATAACCCAGTGAGAATTTAGTACAGTAACAGACCAAACACATAAACAGATTTTACACTATGAAGGCAACAACAGTCAAAATCTGTACTTAATCTCCAGCAGTGCTGACCAAATTTAAGTATAGGTACAGAAAAACAACAAGAAAAATAAAGAGATCTAGAGGCACCGCCTAATTTAACTATTATTAAAAGGAAAGCAATAAAAAACCCCTCTTACTTGAAGGACCTAGACTCTTGAAATTATACGCTTCTACAATACTAAGGCAGATAAGACATGTATGGTCTTGGAGAAAAAGGAGCTCAAATATGATCACATACAACCACTAGCAGTGTGAAAAGCATGGATTTATATTATGAGAATACATCATAGAATCTAATATAATAAGTGGTAAAATAGTTGGTAAATATTTGCAAGCATGTCGTTAAAACAGGAAGTTATTTCTCAAACAAACTGGGTTTGTAAACCTGCCGAATAAGGAGGGAGAGAAAAGGTGGTGGAGGGGGAGAGGGGTGAATAGATGGGATAATTGTTAACATGACCTGTCTCACTTTTATTAGTCAGTTTCCTGTGAAATACTAGGAATTGGGGGCTACGGTAGCATATACTACATACTTTTATTACTGCAGCTCTTCCACATTGCAGTGGAAGGTTATGGAGACCTGCATAATCTCAGAAAGACTGAATTTCAGATGCTTTTAGGGAGAGGATCCATAGCGTTCTCCAGAGCAACCCCCAGAACTTGTGTAACTCAGGGAGGAAAAGCAGTTTTGTTAGCTGTCATGAGTGGACAGTGCACATCCACTGGGCCTTATTTTCCTTGATTAGTCAAGTTATTTCCATTGTAGTCTCATCATAGTTTTTATCAAAGTTTGATTTTTTTTTTTCATCTTGAAATGTTGAGTACATTCTTAGCTCATATGAAAATTAGTAGTTTATAAAACTAATTAATTTTAATTGTATGCTCCCCCTTTTCCTTCAAGGATTGCCTTGATGTCAGGCTTTGATTTTTCTTTTTCCATATTCGAGAAGCAAGCTCCCAGTTTCTGCTTTCCGTACAAAATTTACATGACCATGTCCATCCCACTGGGAAAATAAATTTAATGTTGAGTTTGATTCATGTGATTTGTCAATATAATTAAAATAAATTGGATCATTATAATTTTTTGGATGTGTGTTGGGACTGTGGCCAACACAAGACATGACCAGCACTGTAGATGATCTCCGTGGCCTGGAAGATGAAACTCCAATTTTAGCAATTCCGGCCTGACCCAAGAGGCCTTTAAAGGCATTTTGCCCCCCTTAGGGGAGATAGGAGTTTTATCCTTTTATAGCATTAGGACCAGTTAGGCAGCATCCCAAAATTAGGCAGCATCACTTCTGTACAGCAGAATGAGTGATAGTAAAAGTGATGCCATGCTGCTTGGTCAGTGGAAAATACGATGTGTTCATCATAGTAGTTGTGTAGAAAGCTAATAGTCCCACTGTCCGTCGTGTGATTGCCATGTCCAGCTTAATGGCTGGTTGGCTTGTTTTCCTCTTATTTAAAGGTGATGTTGCTTTGGGATTGGTTTATGAAACCGTTGCTCACTTGGCAGCAGAATGACACTGAGGAATTGGAGGCTGGGCCTCTGTGATGGGGATTTATCGCAGTCTCAGCTTTAACTAATGCCATTATAATTCAATGGTTTTGACCACAGGCCACTGCTGTGTAAACTATAAAAAGTTTTGAACTCTACACTAAACTTCTGTATTCTTATTCCTGCTTGTCTTTTGCCACTGTTTCCATCAGAGAGCTGTGTCAGAAGTTGTGGCAAAGGGAAATTTTAAGAAATAGCCAATTTTGGAAGGCGTTGGGGAGGTTACAGGCCTCTAGTATTTTTGTAATGAACGAGATTTTTCAAAAAATTCAAGAAAAGTTTGAGTGTATTTTCTTTTATTTTCTGCTCTTTTATGCTAGCTCAGCAGGCATTTTTTGTTTTGGAAGGTGGCTATAACGTAGCAGATGTATTTGGACTCCTGTAAGCAAAATATCCCTTGGAGAGTAATTTCCTTTATGTTAGCTCAAAGGCAACTTATTAAAATCTGTGCTGGAACTATTACAGGCTTCAGCAAAGAAAAAATAAAACATTTAGAAAGTTAAAATTTTCTTTTAAACAGTCAGTTTAGTGGCAACTATTGTTTGCTCTAATAGCAGTTAAATGTAGGCTACTGCATTATTTGTAGTGGGGCAATTTTGTTGTTATACAGACACAAACCATGGCAGGATTCAGTCCTTTGTGCCAACATACTATGACAAGTGCATCACCACTGTTCTCAGCTGTAATGTCTGTTCTCTATTTTTCTTGTATTTATATCAATTATTTGTGTATTTATTCAATTTCTGTGCATTTGTGTCAAAGGCAGGTTCTGCCATCAGCTGCAGTGATCTTTTTCAACTAGAATGTTGCATGTCTGTCAGTGAATCATAAATGCCCTAAAAAACTATTCTGTATCATGTTACTCTCATGTCAGTTTATGGAAGGGTAGAGGGTGAGTCTAAAAAGCAGAATATAGAAATTCAACTTTTTGTTTGGCTTCTGCCATATTAGGATCTAGTATTTATATGTTAAGTGGTATGTTGCAGATACCCTTTGCTTCTTTCCTCTGCTTATGTCAGAAAAAATGTAAGCAGTAACTTGGGGGTTAAATTCCTGCTCAACAGGCATATTTTTGGATTTACGTTTTCTGTAAGAGAGCTGTGAGTGGAGCTCAGTGCTTTGCAGTGGAGGGAGGTGCTGTGTGACAGCACCAAGCATCCAAGGGAAAGGCAGCTTGTAGCAGACATACATGACGGGAAGGAGACGCTGTACCAGCTCTTCCAGTTTCACAGGGACCGTGCATTTTCCAGCTGTTTACCCTTGAGATGTAAAATGGCAATTTGGCATAGGCTAACAACTCAGTGTGATGTGAGCATCTGCGTAAAAGGCTGCACATATGGAGCATGCCCAGTGATATGAACAGCCTGTTACCCCACCCCCAGCCAATCTAGGAAGAGATGAAATGAACTTTGCACTTGCAAATGTCACTGAATACATTTTGCACAGGATTTTAAAAGGTTCTCTTATAAGCACTATTTTTAACAGCCAAATCCACCCCCCAAAACAGAAAGGAAAAAGCCCTAGGTATTTTTCTGCGGTTGATCTCAGTTTATGATCAACTGAAGTATCTCTCACAGCATCTACCTGAAGCTTGGTTTATTTTACATTTTAATTGTTCGAGTTGAGATTTTTGGAGGTGGTGCAGATTTTTTGGGTTTTGTTTTTGTTTGGGGTTTTTTTAAATTATTTTTATTTTTTTTTTACTGGCATGAGAAAATTTGAGAATTTAATTGCAGCAGAGTATTTGGAAACAGTGAGGCTGCAAGCTTGAAAGGCAGAGGGAAGAGAAGGAAGGCTCTCAGAGCAGAGCATGGATAGGAAAGGAGCAGTGATTCTGCGGTGCTCAGTGTGCACATGTTTCATGAGATCAGTGCCGGGCGCTGCAGCTGCGGACAATAACTGAGCTGTCTGGCTAATGAAGGCCACCTGGATCAGGCTTCTCAAAAGAGCCAAAGGAGGACGTCTGAAGAATTCTGATATCTGTGTAAGCCCTATGTTTTCATTATCGGCATGTATTATGTGTATTGAAGGGAGGGAGAGAAAACAAGGAAGCAAGGAGATGACAGTTGTTTTCATTCTGATTGAATTAGCAGAACTCTGTTTTGTATGCAGGGAGATGCAGAGGAAAAGCAGAGCTGTCATTATTTATAGAGCTCTTCTGGCATTGTGGCTGCTTTCATTGTGGCGATATGGGGACATGTGTTGAGTCCAGACGGATTTTATTAGTTGGAAGTTGATTTGTGGTCATTTACATGTTTTGCTGAGGGGCAGAGATGGATATGAGCCATTTGCAGTTCTGATGGGGAAAGTGTGTCAGGTAAAGAGGTTGCCCTAAAATAAAAATGGATAGCAGAGGTTAAATCTGTTAGCAGAGATATTGTGTAATGGTAATTATTGATACTGAATTTGCATTTTGATTATAAAAAGACTGTTTCCTTGAAAATACTGTCACTGTTTAGAGTTTTGATTTTTAGGGAGCCATCCTTGAAGCTGCTGTATGTCCTTCAGCCCTGCACTGCACCAGTGCTGTAACTCTACAGAACAACTAGCTTTGCTTGCTGAAAAGCACACAAATAAGAGCATAGGGGTAGTGCAGGAAATAAAACACTGGGGAAGACACCTGCACTTTTGGAAGGTCTCCAGAAGAAAATATTTACCTAGACATAATTTTTCTAACTGACTTTTCACTTTTGGGTAGTTATTTTCCTTTCAGGGATACAAAAGTAAAGAAAAGACAAGATGTATAACCACTTCTGCTGAGGTTTTTGTGGTTTTGTCGGGGGTTTTTTTGGGGTTTTCTTTTTTTTTCCCCTGCTGTTGTTTTGGGGCTTTTAAACACTAAACAACACGAGACATTATTTTGGTTTTCTTGTGCAGGGTTCGGCGGACTCCTACACCAGCCGTCCATCTGATTCAGATGTATCTTTGGAAGAAGACAGGGAAGCAGTGCGGAGAGAGGCAGAGCGACAGGCCCAGGCACAGCTGGAAAAAGCAAAGGTAAGGTGGTTTTTCATGTTACAAGTTCATAAAATGTTTGACTTTAAAGGACTGATACCTCATCCATTAGCGATACAAATGTTATTAATGTGTTAACATACAGCGTAAGACCTCTTCTAAAGATTTTCTAGACAGCAGTAGAAAAGAGATTTTCCAGGAAAAATCACTTAGAATCAGTTTTCCATAGAAGGCATTTGATTGGCTTCTGTATTTCAGAACAATCTTATTTAAATGTGTGCACTTCTGCTTTTATTGAATGTACACATTTATTGTGGTGTATGGGGTCAAAGCTTTGAGTTCTTACTGAAGATGTTTGTGAAAGTTTACCCATGGGTTGCTACGGCACTCAAAACTTACAGTTCTAGAAATCGGCCCTCAAGCATTCAGTTCACCTCCCTTCAATGAAAGATCAGTCCCTACAAGTCATATGTAAACAGGGAGAATCTGTTACAAAGGTCTTTTTTTCCTGAAGACTTCACTGACTTTCCTTACAGTTTGTGTGTTAAATGACCCCGTGAGCAATATGCTCTAGGACTTGTTAAGATTTCTCCTTTTATCTCTATCTACTAAATTGTCACTATTCTGGCAGATAGTGACAATTTAGCAAGAACCTAAAAGAGCTTTAGGTTCTTGCTGTGTTTGTATATTTTCCATGAAATGTGTTTATGACTCTAAGGGCTTTAGCAGAGAAAGGGTATGGGCTTGTTTTTCTTTCATGTGTGCTGTATCTTTAAATACTATTGCATCTGTAAAAATCATGCTCATCTTATTTGTCGCCATTCACTTATCACTTTGTTCTATTTCTTTTTTGTATGCTATCATCTACAGATCTCAGTGTATTATTGTTTTCCAAAGTCTGTTTTTATGTTTTCATATCTTATATCTAAATATTTAATTACACTGTTGAGATCCCTCCTCAGATCTACCTGATCTGCATTTCTCTCTCACTTTCTGTCTGACTCCCCTCCTCCATTTTGCCTTGTTTTTTATTTTGCTGTTTTCTTTTCCACTGCCAGACTTGCCCATTTATGCCACCTGTTTTACAAGGGTTCTTCAGAAATTAGGAGTCCAGATCATTGAACTATGCATCTGATTGCATGTTGGGGACCAGGTCCATTAAAATACGATACTATAATGCACAGGCAGACAGCTTAATTGGGCCAGAAAACTTGAAGAGGGAAGCTAAAGATGAGGGTGGGGTGGGGGTGTTAATTGTTAACCGATATTTAATAAGAGCTCCTAAAGCAGCTTTTTAATGAGCTGCTGGAACTTGCCCACTGTAGGAGATGCTGAACATCTCTTTGAACTTGGGTCTTGCTGTCCTGGGATCAGTATAGCAGAAATTCAAAAGCAGCAGCTCGCTTCTTCCCTTCCACCTTGTATCTTAGGGATGTTGCTGATTGTAATCAGGAGTTTCAGGTTTATCAGGGTTGCTTTTTGCTAGTTTGAGATTTCTTTGCTCCTAGGAAAGATAATAAAGGCTGCCCTGAAATTCAGGTGGAGTTTTGAATTTTACCAGTAAATGCACAATCTTTAAAAGAAGAGTTGAAACAATAATATCTTGCAGACTAATCAGGTTAG